TTGCGGTTCAATTTTCACGTCGCCTTACTGTTCGATAAATGTCCTCAATGAAAAAAAATAAATAAATAAATAACTGGATGGTCTAATTACTTTCTTTTCCAAGTGGGGATTTCCTGGCTTGTGGTTTACGGATAAGAAAACTGAAAGCTTTCCTATGTATTAGTAAATCAGAGGTTTGCTTGCTGGTGTAAAGGCAAAGTTAATTTAGAGTGCTGCTTACATGATTGAGTGCTTTGCGGTCGATTGCTTTATATATATAGAAATTGAGGCAAAGCAAGTTGGTTGGATTTGCTTCACGAGTCGTGGGGGGAAATCTTGAGGAAGTGGCATCGTGGATTCTGATTCTGGTTCTGGCTGCCACCCACCTATCTCTCTCTCTCTATCTATGCATTGCATGAGATCTTATTTATTGGTAATGCAGAATCCCAACTTTTGGGTAGAAAGTGACAGTTTGGTTGGTTGGCTAGCTATGTCTCTCCAAAATTGCACTCATGATAGGGTAGGTGTTAGCGGATGCGGTTCCAGCTGTGATCCAAACGGTCGATTGCGAGTGCAATTGTTAGATTCACGCAATACATTTCCGTGCATTCTAACAATAAGAAAAAAGAAATTGTGATCGAGATGTATATTGTACCAGGTTACCAATGGTGCCGTTCAATAAGGTGAATCTTCACCTATTACAATCTACTCATCTGTTTATCACCATGATAACTACATCCTTCAAATCGCTTTAGGCCGGGTTCTTTGGATGAAATCATTGTTAATGTGCTATTTGTTTGGTGCTCATTAATTGTTCACGTGACATTTCAGTGGTTATTGGATTAAAATATCATTTGGCTAAACTATTCATTTGTGGTATATGACAATAATAAAAGGGGTAAATACAATATATTAGCCATAACTATTAAGCAGCGGGGAATTATAGCCACAACTATCGAAATATAAATTATTAGCCATAACTATTGTTGCGGGTCAAGATTTGGCTAACAAACTGTTACTGTTTTCAAATTTTTAACGAAGAAGACCATGTCAACATTGTAAAAAATATGATATAATAACTGCCACGTGGGAGCCAGCTCAGCATCGTAAAAGCTTAGCCATCATTACTAACAGAAGTGTTAACGAAAACTCAACGGTTGGCTAATAATTTGTATTTTCATAGTTGTGGCTATAATTGCCCAATGGTTAATAGTTATGGCTAATATATTGTATTTATCCTAATAAAAGAATATAAACAAGTTATTTTCAAATAATGCGAGGGATATTTAACAAAAAAAAAACGAGAGGTAAGAACTATTACAAATAACTCACTGCTCAAATGATTCATCTCAATAAAGTGTTTTCAAATTATTTAAATTTATTTGACTTAAAATAACTTAGCTAAAAACCTCATCCAAATGATTATTACCACACGTTGAAAGTATGAGTTTTTCTTTTTGTGTTCACTAATTAGTTTGGGAGTTACTCCGCAACTTACTACCTTAAATCTTTCTTCCCTGTCTTCTTTTGGTTTTCTAGACAAGACAAAGGTGAGATATTCCTTGTGGATGGAACCTAATTCTATATTAAGCCCTTTGTTTGAAGCTTCGTTATTCCAATGCTTATGGTTTTGGTATTGTGGATGAGAGATATAGCGTGCGAGTTTGCATTCAATTACACTTGTCATGTGTACACCTTTGCTTGTTGCAAGCAACTGGCCAGTTGGTAGTTTTCCTTTCTTTTATCTTCCAGACAATAAACCTGACTTCTGAATAAAAAAGATTTGTGACATGGGACTTTTCACCATGGGCCCAGGCCCATATAGACTAAGGTAGTGATCCTACTGTATGGGCCATATAGGTAAGGTAACCTTGATCAATTTTTTGACAACGTAAGCTAAGTGATCTTTCCCATGAAATCAGGAGGAGACAATCCGCGAAACCATCCAAGATGCTGGGTTCGAGGCCAAGTTAATCGAGGGCGAAACAGGTCTTGATAATTCTTCACAAGTATGCCGAATACGCATCGTCGGCATGTCCTGCACATCTTGCTCGTCAACGTTGGAACAAACCCTTCAAGCCATGCAAGGAGTACAAAAGGCTCAAGTAGCCTTAGCAACCGAGGAAGCAGAAGTTATCTATGACGCCAGAATCTTAAACCACGCCCAACTCCTTGAAACCATTGAAGATTGTGGGTTTGAAGCGATATTCATTAGCACAAGCGATCAAATGGACAAGATAACACTTAGAGTAGAAGGAACGACGACCGAAGATTCGATGACAATGATTGAGAAATCCCTTCAAGCACTCCCCGGAGTTCAAACCATCGACATGGACCTGGAGCTCCACAGAGTCTCCATTGCTTATAAACCGGACCGAACCGGTCCCAGAAGCTTCATCAAAGTGATCGAGTCAACGGGGTCGGGTCGTTACAAAGCCATGATAGAAGCTGGCCATGGAGGAAGAGATAGCCACAAGCAGGAAGAAATCAAGCAGTACTACAGATCTTTCTTATGGAGTTTGGTCTTCACTGTTCCTGTGTTTCTCCTAGCCATGGTTTTTATGTACATCCCTGGAATCAAGCACGGCCTGGACACTAAGATAGTCAACATGCTGACTGTAGGAGCTCTTTTGAAATGGGGGTTATCAACTCCAGTGCAGTTCGTCATCGGTAGACGATTCTACACCGGTTCGTATAAAGCGTTGCTCCATGGTTCAGCTAACATGGATGTACTGATTGCCTTGGGGACAAATGCAGCCTATTTCTACTCTGTCTACTCTGTTCTCAGAGCTGCAACGTCTCCAAACTTTGAGAGCACTGATTTCTTCGAGACCAGCTCGATGCTGATATCGTTCATTCTGCTGGGGAAGTATCTTGAGGTTCTGGCTAAAGGGAAAACATCCGAGGCCATTGCCAAGCTCATGGATTTAGCACCTGATACTGCAATTCTGTTGACCCTGGATGATGAAGGTAACGTGATGGGCGAGGAAGAAATTGACGGTCGATTGATTCAGAAGAATGATGTGATTAAGATCATACCTGGTGCGAAAGTAGCTTCAGATGGGTATGTTGTATGGGGGCAGAGTCATGTGAATGAGAGCATGATTACAGGGGAAGCTCGCCCCGTGGCGAAGAGGACAGGGGATCCAGTGATTGGAGGCACGGTGAATGAGAATGGTGTGTTGCATGTTAAGGCGACGAGAGTTGGTTCGGAGAGTGCTCTTTCTCAGATTGTTCGTCTTGTCGAGTCGGCTCAGATGGCGAAAGCTCCTGTGCAGAAGTTTGCTGACCGTATCTCCAAGTACTTCGTGCCACTGGTAACAATTTATTGCATTACTCAGAACATGAGACTCATCATAATTTCCATGAGTTATATTGTGAAGCAAATGTAAGTACTTTGTTGTGCAGGTGATTATTCTCTCACTTTCGACTTGGCTGGCATGGTTTTTGGCTGGGAAATTGCACGGCTATCCAGAGTCTTGGATCCCACGTTCTATGGATAGCTTTCAATTAGCTCTGCAGTTTGGAATCTCGGTCATGGTGATAGCTTGCCCATGCGCTCTTGGACTGGCAACTCCTACTGCTGTCATGGTGGGCACTGGAGTTGGCGCATCACAGGGTGTCCTCATCAAAGGTGGACATGCATTAGAAAGTGCACACAGGGTCGACTGCATTGTATTTGACAAGACGGGAACTCTTACGGTTGGAAAACCAGTCGTTGTCAACACAAAGCTCCTGAGAAATATGGTGCTCAGCGACTTCTATGAACTTGTTGCTGCTGCAGAGGTAAACAGCGAGCATCCTTTGGGCAAGGCAATTGTGGAGTATGCCAAGAAGTTCAGAGAAGATGAAGAAAATCCTGCCTGGCCGGAAGCACGTGATTTCATCTCCATCACAGGCCATGGAGTCAGGGCTAGCGTTCGCAATAAGGAAATCATAGTTGGAAACAAGAGCTTGATGCTTGATGAAAAAATAACCATTCCGATTGATGCTGAAGAGATGCTGGCGGAAACTGAAGAAAGGGCTCAAACTGGAATTCTGGTATCAATTGATAAGGAGGTGACTGGAGTTCTAGCAATATCTGATCCATTGAAACCTGGTGCACAAGAAGTCGTCTCAATCCTCAGGTCTATGAGAATCGAGAGCATCATGGTTACGGGTGATAACTGGGGGACTGCCAATTCCATTGCCCGGGAAGTTGGGATCAATAACGTTGTTGCAGAAGCCAAACCTGAGCAGAAAGCTGAGAAAGTTAAAGAACTCCAGGTAAATTACCTAACCATGTTTAGTTCTTAACTGCATTTGTCATAGCAAATGCTAAAACAAAGTCAAACAAACCCATATTTACACTATCTTTTTCTATGCGAAGGCTGCAGGTCGTGTAGTGGCGATGGTAGGTGACGGGATAAACGATTCGCCAGCACTCGTTGCAGCAGATGTTGGAATGGCAATTGGTGCAGGAACAGATGTTGCCATTGAAGCAGCAGACATTGTTCTGATGAAGAGCAACTTGGAAGATGTGATCACTGCAATAGACCTCTCAAGAAAGACCTTTGCCCGCATTCGTCTAAACTACATATGGGCTCTGGGTTATAACCTCCTTGGCATTCCAATAGCTGCAGGAGCTCTTTTCCCTGGGACTGGATTCCGATTGCCACCGTGGATTGCTGGAGCGGCAATGGCAGCCTCTTCAGTCAGTGTAGTCGTGTGTTCACTCATGTTGAAGAATTACCAGAAGCCTAAGAAGCTGGAAAACCTGGACATTCGAGGAATAAGGATCGAATGATTTGATATGCAACAATAAGAGCTGTTGTTACTGGCTTATGAATGATCAAAGTCACTGTTGGTTGTACAGAAATTTGATGTATAAGATCCAGCGTTCAGGTACAGAGTCTTTTTGGAAAGGTCTAGCAGCATTGTAAATAACAGTGGGTTATTCACATACTTGACTCAAGTTCTTTTTGGTTTAAGCCTTATTGGAAAGGTCTTACAGCTATCATAAAATAAAAAGGTCTTACAGCATTGTAAATAACAGTGGGGATTAGTCACATCCTGGACTGCACTTTTTTGTTTAAGCTAGATTCAGTTGACCTCAAAGTCTTCAACATTTCTTTCACTTTGAAGAGGACTCGGTGCACTTCGTCAAAGTGAGGACTGGTAGCATCCTTTGTATACTCGATCCATTGTAGAACCTTCTTATGAGGACTGAGAACTCGGTTTCGATCCATGTCATCCAAAACCTGAAATCCGAAAGACAAGAAAATGTTACACTAGGAAGTTTCACATGATGCTTTTCATCTACATACATTGATTACACGAATGAATAGCACAAGACTGAAACAAGTATAGAGAAAAATATAAGTACCTCCAATTGCATTAATTCACATACGAGGCTGATATCTGCTATAGAAGGCTGATTTCCACCGAGCAAGAATTTCCCACTGCCCTTGAGCCAGAAAGACTCCAACTTTGACAAGGATGCAGTTAAAATCTTCTCGCCTTCTGCCGCTAATTTTGGATTCAAGGGCAGTCCAAGTGCAGGTGCCAATGCCTTGTTTAGAACAAATGTAGCTGCAGAAGCATAGTGCGTTAGATTAGATCATATATGCAATAACCAGGCAGAAATAGGAACGTAGTCCAGAAGACCATTCAGAACAGAAATGGAAATGACCATTAAAACAAATCTATGCATGTAACTAACTAGCAGCAATTCGTGTCTAAAAGTGTCAATTCAGAGTGGAAAGATTCAATTCTTAAACGCCTAAATCAGGGTCTAGGAAAGATTAATGGATGCAGTACCTGCACCACGGCGCAAGCTTGTGTGATGCCAATCAAGCACTGACTGAATCTTAGCTCTCCTGAAAAGATCAGCTGGATACCTAGACGAACCAAGAAAAGGTAGAATAGATTGAGAACCTCTCTTCAAAAAAAGAAAAATCATCCAGCAAGGAGATGATACAGAAGATATGTATTAGTGTCCAACTTATTTCAAGAAGAGGTGTTCAAATTATCTTGAGTTGCTAGGCCACAGAACACAACAAATTTGCAATCCATCAATGAATAAGAAGACACAACAGCTTGAACTCACCAGTGATCAGGAACTCCAGGAAATACGCAAGCTAGATAGATGAGGATCGCATGACTGTACAAAGAAAAAGAACCAACAAATTAACAACAGTAGCGCAAAAGAAATACAAAAAACAACAGGGCAGCCTGACATATAAAAGATTATTCATTACCTCTCAAACAGCTTGAATCTTCCATCAACAATAGCAGGAACTAGCTTCATAGGGTTAATCTCTAAAAATCCACCATTTGACAAAGACAAACACAGAAGCGTCATTAAGTTTCCCTCAACATCACTCTTCTAAATAGAGTTTCTCTGCAAGAAAACCCTATCAAACCGCTAGGTTCATCTTGTATTCAAGTGCCTATCATATCACATGCTAAAAAGAAGTGCACCAAATCTCTCACAATTTCCACTTCAGGAACCCAGTCTCAAGAAGAATCCAAACAAGCCAAAATGTTTCCTTCAAGACCTCAAACACCCAGAAAAATGGAGATTCCGAAGAGAACAAAATACCTGCAAATTCAGGAGACAAGTGCTGACGCTTAGACAAGTCTACTTTGATCTCCTCAAAGTCAATCCGGTTCAGTCTGAAAATTCCCAAATCCAAAACCCCATTAACCGCAGCTGGGAAACCCAAATGAAATCCATTACCAAATTCATGTAGAAAAGAGATAAAGATCGTTACTTGCAGAAGAGAATGACAGCCCTGGATGGCTGGGACATGCGATCCACATAAACTTTGAGCGTCATCTTCTTCTCACTATTCCAAACTTCTTCAAAGCTTTTCCACAGAAAAATTTAGCGGCCAATGTGGCGAATTGCGATGACGAGTTTCACAGTTTAATCCCAGCTTCAACCATTATCCGACCCTAAACGAAACGTGGACTTCTTCTCCCAGCCAATATATGCCACTCTCCATTCATCATCACTGACGTCACCTCAGGCAGCGGTCGTTCGGTTTGGTTTGCTGGTACCTGTCTCAACTCTCAACTCTACGAAATGGGCCTAAAAGCTGGAAGGCCCTGGGCCTAACTCAGTTTTAACCCATTTTTTGAGCGATGGGTCTAGGTCTGCTCAATATGGCACATCCCAACAAGCCCAAGAAATGTGGAGGACATCCCTTTCAAAAGTGTGACGTCACGTCTCTCGTCTACCTTTGTTTGGCTTTTATGGGGCACACAGTACGAAATTGGATTTCGAGATTTCAATCCGAGAGAATTCAGAATTGCATTCTCCCATGGAAAGATCAGGATTCAGAAAGATCACAAGAGAGATGATTCAACGGTCCCAAACACAGAGCTCACAGCAGCGGAACCTGGTCCCTCCACCACCAGATTCCATCCCTCTCCGAAACCGGGAAAACTTGAAACTCTACTCACTACTGTACCCCCTTCCTCTATACTTCGCTCTCTCTCCTCCATCATGATTTCGTAACAAACAAACACAAGCAATGCAATTTTTTTCTTTGCCACAAGAAATTCCTGCATTGATGATGGCGGGATTGGGAAGCTGCAGCCTGCCGACTGACAGGCAGCAGCAGCAGTACCAGCTTCTCTCTCATAGGGAATCGTGCCGTTTCCGCCCCAGGAAGGCATTCTTCTGCGCATGCGAGAAGAGCCTCTTCAATGCTCTCCATCGCATTACATATACAGCTGTGAACATTGAATTTCTAGTATCTCTCGGTGATCTCTCCGTCTCTCTGTTTTGATTCTAGGGAAAATGGCTGGGCAATTTTGCTGACTGACCGCATTGACTTCGTCGTGTTGAAGGAGCAGCAGCAGAACGGACGTCGGAGAAGGAGACTCGAGAGAGGTGAGAAACTGATTTGCTTTCTATGTGCTGCTCTCGCTATTCCTTTGTTGAAATTGAAATTGATTGCTTCTTCCGTTTCAAAGTTTCTGTTTCGCTGTTTGTCCACCGAGAAACCGAAGGAAAATTGGGAGGTTTGAATTGAATTTTCTGGTACCAATGGAATAGTGGAAACTTCTCTAATTCTGGTTGCGTACGGAGATGTCTAATGGCGCTCATGTGTGCTAAACGGCGGGTTTTTAGGATCTTGGGCTGCTGCTGCTGCTGCTGCCATTGAGTTATACCTAATCTGATACCAATCTGAATTCTGAATGCACAGTACATGCCTCTCTATCAACCTCGCATGCAAGTTTGATTTGAATTGTTTAATGAATTTGTTTTGGGGACGAGTCAACAAGCACATGTTATTGCTGGGCCACTAGTTGACATTACTGTTAAAAGTCTTCGTTGCTTCATATCTCATCTTGCATTTCCGTCCCATTCAAGGCTATTCACTTCCTTTCTTTCCTTCAATTGCAATTCTTGCTTTTGCTTTCTCTACGCAATCATCCTTCCTTGCCCTGCATTTGTAGTTAGAATGAAAATTTCGGTAGCATTTGCAGAGAAGGTACCTTTTTCTGTGCTCTGGATATGTGGTCTTCAAATGTGTGCTCCATTTTTTTGAGTCTTGATGCTTTAAAAGGTTAAATAGACGAGTAAGAATACTGTGCCTTGTTGCTGTCATTTCAATAGAGCCCCAGTTGAATAATGCCATGAATCCCCAGGTACCCTGATTATGCAATTGTACCTTCAACAGAGGGTCAAACATTTTTGCACAATATCATCTCTGGGCTTCACCCTTTTGAAGGCATGCTGTACTCTTTCATCCCCCCGCCAACTGTTCTTGATTGATGCTATTGTGTGGTGTTGATTTCATTCATGAATTAGCAAATTTGCAACGTGACATTAGTGTTTCTTTCTATATTAATTTGGCAGGTACTTGAATCCCTAGCAATCTCTCCATTCTGCTCAATCAACTCGGTCCTGCAATGAGCAACCTTAAGCTAGGAGTAGACGTAGTCGGCGCACACAATCTTCTCCCCAAAGATGGCGAAGGTTCATCCAGTGCATTCGTCGAGCTATGCTTCGAGGGCCAGAAGTTCCGCACCACCATCAAAGAAAAGGATCTGAACCCGGTCTGGGATGAGAGCTTCTACTTCAACATCACCGATCCTGCCAACCTTCACTACCTCACTCTTGACGCCTATGTCTACAACAACGTCAGAGCTGCTAACTCCAGAACTTTCCTCGGCAAGGTTTCTATCCATGGCAACTCCTTCGTCCCTCATTCCGATGCTGTAGTTCTCCATTACCCTCTAGAAAAGCGGGGCATTTTCTCTCGTGTCAAGGGAGAGCTCGGCCTGAAAGTTTACATCACTGATCGTAATCCGTCCATGAAATCCTCAGCACCTGCTGAATCAATGCCGCAAGGTCATCAGCCTGGTAGAGAAAAAGGTGAAAGGCACACATTTCACCATCTACCCAACTCAAGCCACCACAGTCATCGCCACCACCACAATGCAGAAGCATCTTCAGCAGCAGCAGAAGTGGCAACAACTCATCATGTTCCGAAGTACGTTGCTGATGAGATGAGAGCTGCTTCTGCTGAACATCAGCAGCAGAAGCTAGTCCGTATGTACTCCGCATCAGCAGGACAGCCTGTCGACTATGCACTCAAAGAGACGAGTCCTTTCCTCGGAGGAGGGCGGGTGGTTGGGGGAAGAGTGATCCATGCTGACAAAACAGCAAGCACTTATGATCTCGTAGAAAGAATGTTCTTCTTGTATGTGAGAGTTGTGAAAGCTCGAGATCTTCCAGCAATGGACGTGACAGGGAGCGTTGACCCCTTTGTGGAAGTGAGAATTGGAAACTACAGAGGAATCACCAGGCACTTCAACGACAGGCAGAATCCGGAGTGGAACCAGGTTTTCGCTTTCTCGAGGGAACGAATGCAGGCTTCCACTCTTGAAGTTGTGATCAAGGATAAAGATCTTGTAAAGGATGACTTCATTGGAGTTGTAAGATTCGATATCAACGAGATCCCTCTTAGAGTCCCGCCAGACAGTCCTCTGGCTCCTGAGTGGTATCGCCTGGGGGACAAGAAGGGAGACAAGGTGAAAGGCGAGCTGATGCTCGCCGTCTGGATTGGAACTCAAGCTGATGAAGCATTCTCCGACGCTTGGCACTCCGATGCAGCTACTCCAGTCGACAGCTCCCCTGCTGCCTCGACTGTGATACGCTCAAAGGTGTACCATGCGCCGAGGCTGTGGTATGTCCGGGTGAATGTCGTCGAGGCGCAGGATTTGTTCCCATCGGAGAGGACTCGATTTCCCGATGTGTACGTCAAGGTACAAATAGGCCATCAGGTGTTGAAAACCAAGACCTGCCAGGCTCGAACGTTTAACGCCCTATGGAATGAGGATCTTCTCTTTGTTGCAGCAGAGCCGTTTGATGATCATTTGGTCATTTCAGTTGAGGATCGCGTGGCACCCGGGAGAGATGAGATAATCGGGAGGGTTGTTTTACCGTTGAGCGCTGTGGAGAAGCGAGCTGATGATCGGATCATTCATTCCCGGTGGTTCAACCTAGAGAAACCGGTTGCTGTGGATGTGGACCAGTTGAAGAAGGAGAAGTTCTCTAGCCGGATTCATCTCCGAGTCTGTCTAGATGGAGGGTACCATGTTTTAGACGAATCCACCCACTACAGCAGCGATCTCCGTCCCACAGCGAAGCAGCTCTGGCGACCGCCGGTTGGGTTGCTGGAACTTGGAGTCCTGAATGCGGTCGGACTCCATCCCATGAAGACCAGGGACGGCAGGGGAACTTCGGACACGTTCTGTGTAGCCAAATACGGTCACAAATGGGTTCGAACTCGTACCCTGATCGACAACCTGAGCCCCAAGTATAACGAGCAGTATACTTGGGAGGTGTTCGATCCGGCCACCGTCTTGACCGTCGGTGTATTCGACAATGGCCAGCTCGGCGAAAGGGGAGGAAAGGATTTGAAAATCGGCAAGGTCAGAATCCGAATTTCGACCCTCGAAACTGGCCGGGTTTACACACATTCATACCCTTTGCTAGTCCTGCACCCAACAGGGCTGAAGAAAATGGGTGAGATTCATTTAGCAATAAGGTTCACTTGCACATCTTTCGCCAACATGTTGTACCAGTACGGCAAACCACTCCTGCCTAAAATGCACTACGTCAGGCCATTTAGCGTTATGCAACTAGACATGCTCCGTTTCCAGGCCGTCAACATTGTGGCTCTCCGGCTAGGAAGGTCGGAGCCGCCGCTGCGAAAGGAGGTGGTGGAGTACATGTCCGATGCAGATTCCCATCTGTGGAGCATGAGGAAGAGCAAGGCCAATTTCTTCCGGCTGATGACGGTCTTCTCGGGGCTCTTCGCCGCCGGGAAGTGGTTCACAGACATATGCATGTGGAAGAATCCGATCACGACGGTTCTCGTCCACGTGCTTTACTTGATGCTGGCTTGCTTCCCGGAGCTGATACTGCCCACGAGTTTCCTCTACATGTTTCTCATTGGAGTTTGGAATTACCGGTACCGGCCTAGGTACCCACCTCATATGAACACCAAGCTGTCACAGGCTGAGGCGGTTCATCCCGACGAGATGGACGAGGAGTTCGACACTTTCCCGACGAGCAGGAGTCCTGATTTGGTCAGGATGAGGTACGACAGGCTGAGGAGCGTTGCCGGCCGCATTCAGACGGTGGTCGGCGATGTAGCGACGCAAGGGGAAAGGTTTCAGGCGCTTTTGAGCTGGCGGGACCCGCGCGCCACTGCCGTTTTTATCACGTTCTGTCTTGTGGCTGCGGTTGTTCTGTTTGTGACGCCGGTTCAGGTGATTGCGGCTCTGGCGGGGTTTTATGTGATGAGGCATCCGAGGTTCCGGTACCGGACGCCGTCGCCGCCGATTAACTTCTTCCGCCGGCTGCCTGCTCGGTCGGATAGTATGCTGTAAAAAGAATTAGATGTCTGACCGCTGTGGTGTAAATGGACCGCTACCTCTTCGGCAGGCCCAGTTCTATTGGGCCATCACCCATCAGTGGTCCTGTCTATTCCCGTTATTTACTTTTGGGCAGTTCATGGTGCTGTTGAAGCCCAAATGAGGTACTTATTTATCTTTTTATTCTTCTCCCGCTGCGGATGATTTAAGTTGTACTGCGAAGTGCGAACTACTAATCTAGTATCAATTTTTTTTTTCAATTATGAATTCAATAATCCCGTACGAAACAAAGATATAAATCATATAATGAACAAGAATTTGTTTAATATTGTGATTACGATAGGCGCTTAGGTTTTATATAGTGATCCAATTATCCAAAATGTTTAACAAATGCTGCTCATTTCTTAATCCATCAATTAAAAGTGGCAACCAAGAGATGGTCAAGGTGGTTAGGCCATGGAATAGCATCATCATGCTGCTCAAGGGGATTTAATTCTCACAATTCATACTCGGTGAAAAAACTTTTTAGTGTTTTGTATATAGAATTGTTTTTCTGAATCAGCGCTCTCATGAATTTGCCAGATATTCATGAGATCGAGATAATCTCGAAGATATGCGATGCTCATCATTTATAAAAACTGAAAATAAAACACCTCAGCAAGTCAACAACGCATATTATTTTTAGCTGCACCAAGGTCAACTGATTTTCTTAATCCAAAATCCAACAACTAATAACAGCAAACAAAAACGTGCAAACAATTGTTCTATGCCAACTTTACTACGTGCAGTCAAGTTTCATGGCTTGTACCAAATTCATCCTCCCAAAATTCCTAGAAAAACCAGGCCTCAATCCAGTACCCAGAAATCATACATTCAAACCTTTCAATCTCCCTTCACCCACAGAACAAAAATAGATGGCGATTCCCGTGCCCAGAAGAAGGCAATCCAATAACAAGCTGTCCAAGAAAACAGAGTCCAGCTGCACAGACCTCTGTTCCCTCCACACAATCTTCCTTCAAACCCTATCAAGAATCCCTCTAGCCATCTTCCTCCTGATCCTCGTCTACATTTGGTCTTCTTCCACCACCATCATGTCGGGTCACGTCGTCCACCTCTGCGTCTCGTCGCGAAAGCTCAACGATCTCTACTGCCTCTCTGCCGGCACCCAGCCCCCTGAATTCGACTTCCCTCTCCTCCCCAACACCTCCTCTGCCTCCTCTTCCAACTCTTCCTCCGCCATTTTCCCCGACGGTAATAGTACCACCGCCAATGGTACTCTTACCGTCGACATTGCTCCTCCTCCACTCAGCGAAGCTGAGCTAGCCAATCAAGTCATACAACAGCACCTCCGCCTCCACCGATCATGGGCTTCCAATTCATCATCATCATCATCAACATCGTCGTGCGACGAAAGAGGGATCTATGTATATGATCTGCCAGCAAAGTTCAACAAGGACTTAACCGGTCAATGTGGAGAAATGATGCCATGGGCAGGGGAGGATTTCTGCAAGTACTTCTCAAACGGAGGGCTCGGCAACCCAATCGAAAAGCTCGGTCGAGGCTGGTACGACACTCATCAATACTCCCTCGAGCCAATCTTCCATTCGAGGATCTTGAACCATCCATGTCGAGTCCACGACGAGGATCGAGCCAAGCTGTTCTACGTTCCATACTACGGCGGCCTAGACATCCTGAGATGGCACTTCAGGAACGTGTCGAACGACGTGAAGGACACGTTGGGGCTCGACTTGATGAAATGGCTCGAGTCGAGGAAGTCATGGAAATCGAAATCCGGTAAGGACCATGTCTTTGTGCTGGGGAAAATCTCGTGGGATTTCAGGAGGCGGCCCGATTCGGAGTGGGGGACCCGGTTCCTTCAATTGGACCAGATGAAGAACCCGATCAAGCTTATGATCGAGAGGCAGCCGTGGGAGGTCAACGACATTGGAATCCCACACCCGACTTACTTCCACCCACATTCGGACGAAGACGTGCTCGCGTGGCAGCTACGTGCAATGCGATCTCCACGTAGGAGCCTGGTCAGCTTCGCTGGGGCTGACCGACCCGGTCAGCCCGAGAGCATCCGGTCGATTTTGATCGAGCAGTGTGTCGGTTCGACCGATCAGGGTCGGTGCAGGTTTCTGAATTGCAGCCTGGGTGGGTGTGATCGACCCGAATCGGTGATCAAGCTGTTTATGGAGTCGGAGTTCTGCCTCCAGCCACCAGGGGACAGTCCGACGAGGAAGTCGGTGTTCGATTCGCTCGTTTCTGGGTGTATTCCAGTTCTGTTTAGTCCTTTCACGGCGTACTATCAGTATCCCTGGCATTTGCCTGAGGAGCACGAGAAGTACTCGATGTTTGTGGATGAGGAAGAGGTGAGGAAGAGGAATGTGAATGTGGTGGAGAGGCTGATGAAGGTTTCGGTTAGGGAGAGGGAAGATATGAGGAGGTTTATAGTGTATGAATTGTTGCCTGGGTTGGTCTATGGAGATTCTGGGTCTCAGCTTTCCAAGTTTCAGGATTCGTTTGATATTACTGTGAATAATCTTATTGAGAGGGTTAACAGTTTGCTATGACAGAGGGTTTCAAGGGGTTTGTTTTTTGTTTTGGGTTCTTTTTATATTTTGAAGTTGGTTTTGTGAGGGTTTTGGTAGTTTATTTAGTTGTTTTGGTTGTTATCTTTGTCTCTGAGTTCATTGAGAGAATTGTATACTAAAGAACTAAAACAAGAGAGGAGTTTTGACAGCAATGGAAGACAAGGCAAGTCAAGTGCATTTTATTTCAAATTTTAACTGGAGATAAAGAGTACACTTAGCCGGAGATAAAGAGTATACTTGAAAAGAACGAAATGACATGAATCACAATTATTTAATTGATTATAAGTATGATTAACTATAAATATTAGGCGTATTCATTATTTTTGTTTTAAAAAGTTATAAGGCAAATGGCGTATATTCGATGTAAGATTAACAAAATATCCTTTTTGTTATTATTACGATACATTTTGTGATTAAGATTTGTGGAGAAATTTCTATGTCAACAGTTTTAACATTTTTAAAATTGGCACCACTCTATTTTCATATAACATTGTGAAACCTTGTTTTATAATGTTTGTGAACGTTTCATTTGCTATTTTTTATTTATGAATGGTATTTATCTATTAATCATCAAAAACCAAGGTACTTTTATGGCAACACCCCCTGCCACTAAGGAAAACAAACAACACAAACCAACTTTAACCTATCTGTAAGGAGTCAAGAACTAGCAGCAACAACAAGACCCTATGCACTCAAAAGAAAGCAACCAATTCATCATCATCACACACAACCTGCACTTCCTCCTTAATCATTTTGTAGGCTTCACTTAGACTCAAAACTGAACCTCCAAACATGGCCGAACACCTCACTCTCCAAATGTTACTCATCAAGGATTGCCAGATCACTCTTCCTACCCTTGAATGAGGAGCAGACTTTGAGAAAGTGTCAATAGCCCATTTGAGTTCAGCAGACCAGGAGTTTGAAGAAGTTCGGCTACAGAATCTGGAAAATGCCTGGAACAGATCCTTATACCTGCAACATTCTGCAAACAAGTGGTTATGCGATTCAAGTCTGCATTGACAATATATACATGATGTGATCCCTTGGAAACCCCATTCAATCAGTTTATCACAAGTGGAAATGTATTGTTTGATGATTAACCAGCTTACAAACTGATTTTGAGGAATTATAGGAGCTTTCCAGACCAGTTTAAACCAAGGGACAACAGAGCTCTGTGGCCTCAGTTCCTCCCAGATCTGCTTAGTAGAAAACTTTTTCAGAAGCTTCTCATTCCAGAACCCCTCACCACCTTGCACAGTCAACTTGTGCTGAATCAAATCCCTAGTTTTGAGCACCTTCAGCCAAATCCAAGAACCAGTTTTGCATGTTGAGGCCCAGAAATCAACCCCATGAAGCCTATATTCCCATATCCAGGCAACCCAAAGTGACCCTTGTTTTGTAAGGAGATCCCAAATGTGCTTCACAATACAAGCCAAATTTCAGCTCTTCAAATCCCTTAATCCCAGCCCACCCTCTCTTTTAGGGAATGTTAACTTTCCCCAGGCTGCCACTGCTTTCTTCTTACCTTCCTGACCAACTCCCCACAGAAAATCACTACACATCTTCTCAATATCCACAATCACTTTCTTAGACAAAATGAACACAACCATCCAAAACGGGACCATACTGTATAAGACAGATAGAACCAATTGAAGCCTACCTGGGTAGCTCAGGGTTTTTACCCCCCAGTTCTGAATCCTCTTGGCAATTTTTTCAAGCAAAGGACGACAAGCATGAATTGTCAATTTACCATGGATTAAAGGGATACCTAAGTACCTAACAGAAAGAGAACCAAGCTGGTAACCAGCTCTAGCTGCCATACTCTCCTTCCATTCCTTAGGCAAACCACAACAATAAAGCTCACACTTTGGTGGATTAGAAACTAATCCTGAAAGAAGTCTAAACTGTTCAAGGACCTCTTGGATACACTGAATACCATAGTTCGACCCATCAAAAAAGAGCAACAAATCATCAGCAAACATTAGGTGGGTTAAGCCTACAAGTTGACACATTGGGTGAAAAGGCATCCTATTATCATTAACTGCTTTTTTCATAAGACAACTGAACACTTCCATTGCTACAACAAACAGATAAGGAGAGAGGGAATCTCCTTGTCTTAATCCCTTCTTTGCAGAGAAATAACCAACCACACCTCCATTAAACCCAACACTGATCTTAGGCGTAGTGAAACACATTGAAACCCATTTAATGAAGCTTAAAGGGATATTCATAGCTTCTAACACAGTAGTAAGAAAATTCCAATCCACTGAGTCAAAAGCTTTCATTAGATCCACCTTTACCATACACCTAGAGGACATATTTTTCCTACCATATTTTTGAACCATTTCATGAGCAAGCAGAATATTCTCCCTAATGATTCTTCCTTTAACAAAAGCAGTTTGGTTCTCACTAATCAAATGAGGAAAACATTCACTAAGCCTGGAAGAAATGATCTTAGCTATACATTTATAAAGTATGTTACAGCATGAAATTGGTCTAAAGTTTTTTCATTTCTTCAGGGTTCTTAGCCTTAGGGAGTAAAGTTAAGAGGGTGGAATTTACCTCCAAAGGGAACTCAGAGACTGTAAAACAATGCTGGATAGCATCAGTGATCTCTTCCCCCACAATACTCCAAGCAAAGTGGTAAAAACATGTTGAGTATCCATCTAGACCAGGACTTTTCTCCCCTTTAAACCCAAACATCACTTTCTTAACCTCTTCTGGAGTAACAGGTCTACACAAATCCATGGCTAGATTACTAGGGAGAGTCTTTTGCAACAGACCCCTATAGAAATCCACTGACTCTGCCTTCACATTAAGATCAGCTTTGCCAAGTAGATTTTGATAAAATCTCATAGCTACCTCACTCATGTTCTTTGTGTCAACCACTCTTTCCCCAGATTCATTGATGAGAGATCTGATAGTATTCCTCTAGTTTCGAATTTTTACTAAGCGATGAAAGTAAGAGGAATTGGAATCCCCTTCTTTAAGCCAATTCTCCCTAGACTTCTGTCTAAGGAATGATTCCTCAGCTTGCCTGACAACTTTTAACTCCACTTCACTATCTTTAACCCGAGCAAAAGAATCAGAAGAAGGATCAGCTAAAGCAGCAGCCTGAGCACTTTGTAATTCCAGTTCTTTCAACTTCACACGCTCCCTTAGATCAGAAAACTCCTCCTTATTCAGTTCCCTTAGTAACTTCTTTAGAACTCTTAACTTCTTACAAACTCTGGAAAGTGGAGAACCCTCAACTTCAGCACCCCAAGCCTCTTTAACAAGGTCAAGGAACTTCGGATGGGATGTCCAAAACTTAAAGAACTTGAATGGTTTAGGCAGAGATTTGATCTTACTGTCTGTGTTTAAAATAATGGGGAAGTGGTCAGACACTGAAGGATCTAAAAGATCCACAACACTATCCTTCATTGCATCAAGCCATTGCAAGTTAATGAAAGCTCTGTCTAGTCTCCTTGCAATAGGATTACTCTGCTGCTTGTTGATCCAAGTAAACCAAGGACCTGAAGATTTATGTTCCACAATTTCAGCCATATTCTGCCAATTTCGAAAATCTTCCATACTATTGTTACGAGCTGGGGTATTTGAGGACTCCTCAGGGCCATTAATGGCATTAAAGTCCCCCAGAATTACCCAAGGAACTTGCGCCCAACTCTTAACTTAACCAGATCACTGTATAACTTCCTTCTATCTGCCTCCTCATTAGATGCATAGACAAACGTGACAAAAAAAGGAGACCCTGAGCTCACCAAGGCATGAACAAACTGATCAGAGCTATCCAGAATCCTCATATGGACATCCTGCTTCCAAAGAATCCACAACTTCCCCAAACCATTTGTGTTACATGTCACTTTCTTCTCCCATCCAGGGAACCCCTTACTTATGAGTGCATCTGTCTCACTTACTCTAATTCTTGGCTCTAGTATACCCACTATATCTATATTGTATTTATTTACTAGCTGCTGCACAACCTTATTTTTTGCAGGGTCCTTAAATCCCCTGGTATTCCAAGATAATACCTTCATTTCTTCTTTCCTCCCCCCCCCCCTTCTTGGCAGGAGGAACATGTGGTTTTTTCTTTGCAGAATTCCCAACAACTGTGATCCAGGGATTTATCTCATTATCAGCAGGAGTAGACTGAGAAGCTAACCTCCCCACAAGTGAGTTAGACTGCTCAATCACAGGCTGAGTGATAACAGGACTCCCAGATGGAACTGATGGTCCCTTTACCGGTTCAGCAAAACTCGCCACTGTGCTCCATATTGTCCGAGGAGCAGAATGAGAACTCCCCTCATCATTTGACCCAGAGGCAACTGCAGCAAAACTCTCAACTGTGCTCCCAGTAACAGAGGAACCATCAACTTCAGAGCTATGCACTTCCTTACCCTTATCATTAGCTTCCTTAACTTGTTCAATTTCAAGCTGGGAATCAACTACAATATGCTCAGTATCTACCTTCAATTTAGGAACCCATTTCTTCCCACTCTTTGCAAGCCACTCACAATCATGCCCATAAATCTCACATCTATCACAGACCAGAGGCTTATTAAGATACTCTATCTCAATTTCAAACAGCGGATCATCATCTGGATATAGACGAACTTTATCAGGAAACCCACAATCAACATCTAGATAAACACAAACCTTAGCAAAACCCAATTGAGCCCCAACCCTAGTGGTCTAATCCACCCAGAGCGGAGCCCCTATCGTACTTGCAATCCATTCATGCCCCTCAAACGAATGGTACTCAAGAGGAATACCCCAAAGCTTAACCCAGATTGGCAAGGTTTCAACAACGGGGGTGACAGGTTGAATCCCAGGAAACCACTTCCTAAAGTAAACAGGATTACCTTGAAAGTGCCATGGCCCAGACTTGAACACCCATTTGTCAGTAGCTACCGAAGGAAACCGGAACACCATCAAACGAGGGCCAAATAAAGAGACGCGAACAACCCCGTCACTTCCCCATAGACTGGTAGCCCACTGCTGAAGAGCCGCCGGTTTAGGCACAGGCCCAACAAATTGGGCGATATGACAGTCCTTCCACCTCTCCTCTCCCCGCTTTTTGACTTTGAGAGGGAGACGAAAACCATCCCCCTTCTTCTGAGGAGGTCGATACGTCATCTTGTTTGTCGGATTCACCTCAAAAAGAGAAGCCCAGCTAACAGGCATGGTGGCCTGCGTCGCCGCCATCGCAAAAGCGAGGATTCAGAGAAAAAGGGTTAGAGAGAGAGAATACCAATTATTTCATTTGCTATTTTAATGAAGGGTTAATACCCTAGTTTGGTCCGAAGTTTGGCGTAAGTGACAATTGTGGCCCGACTTTTTTAATAAGACATTTATGGCCTACTTTTCAAACTATTGGACAAATTTGGCACAAAATTTTCTTTGACCGTTAATATTGACGGTCAAACACTATTCCGTTAGTGACTCATCAAAAAGTAGCTGATGTGGCTTGCCACATCATTAAATAATATTATTTTAATTTTGTTATTCGGTTAAAATAAAAATAAGATATAAAATTGAAGCCCTCTTATTATCCAAAATCCCCAAAGCCCATCCAAACCCTAATTTTTTTTTTTCGCCGCCTCCACTTTATCCTCCACTTCTCCTCCTCACAGTCGCCACCACCGTCGTCGTCCCCGCCGCCGAGTTCCAAGCCTTGACCGCCTTCAAGCTCGCCCTCCATGACCACTTGGTGCCCTGGACGGCTTGGACCCTTCCATCCCACTCGCCCCTTTCGACTGCCGCGGCATCATTTGCTCTTCCTCCAACCACTCCCCCAGCTCCGCCGCCTCAGCCTCCACTCCAACAACTTCAATGGCTCCATCCCTTCCTCTCTCTCCCCCGCTGCTCGCTCCTTCCCGCCGTTTATCTCCTGTACAACTTTCTCTCCGACGAGCTCCGGCTTCCCTCCTCACCAATCTCCAAATTATCACCGTCTCTCACAATCTCCTCCCTGGGATAGTTGCTAACAGAGGAGGGAGAAAGGGGATAAAGAATGGGAAAGGTTTGCTTGTGGTGGACCATTCGACTTCCCTTTTCATTTTTTTTTTGTTTTTTTATTAATTTTTAAATGATATGGACTAGTCTAGATAGCAGTGAGTGCTGAGTCATTGATGGAGAAAATGATTGACCGTCAATTCTGACGGTCAAACCGCTTCATAGGCCAAATTTGTCCAATAATTTGAAAAGTAGGTATAAATGTCTTATTGAAAAAATCGGGCCACAATTATCACTTACACGAAACTTCGGGCCAAACTAAGGTATTAACCCTTTAATGAACTGGTTCGAAAGACAAAATAACATAGTTTTGTTCTTTATGTATATATTATCAAACTATTTCATTTTACAACAAATTACGCAACAAAGAGCGGTAGCGAAACATGTGATTGGTTAATAAAATTTATAATATTGCGTGAAAATTTTGTATTGTGCGTGTGGATATAAATGGAATGCAGGTTTATATCTCTTAAATGGCATTTAAGGATAGAAGTTTATTATGTCACTCTTCTTATAAACAAATGGAATTGCATATTATTTTGATAAGATTACATGAAAAAATAAAATGTGTGCATGTTGTGAAAATTTTCTCACCCATAAATTTTGAAAACGATTGAGACATATTAGACAAAAAGTTGTTAGAAAAGCACAGACTTAAGTACTCTAGTAATATTAATTTGATCCACCACTGTAACCACCAACTACTGGTAACTGATGTGCATCACCATGCATCAGTTAAATCAAGTTAATTTGTATGCGCAATTATTCTGTCCTTCTTAGAAAACGAGTAGCTAGTTTCCAAGTGTGTGGGACAAGTAAAATCCTCCTGCACCTATTCTATAGTCCTACTCGTGAAAGCCAACCCATTCTACATTTAATTAGTACTGAATCCCAGCAACGAACCATGAATTGAATACTCTTGACAATCTTGAATTCCAGAATCCCCACTTCATCATGGAAACTCTGTCCTCCAACATCTCCCTAGCCCTACTCATCTTGATCCTCATCTACATTTGGTCCACTTCCACCACCATCATGTCAGGAAACTCTGTCCATGTTTGCGTCTCGTCGCGAAAACTCAACAATCTCTATTGTATTTCTGCCGGCACAAAGCCTGGATTCAATCTCCCGATCCTCCCCAATACCTCCATTGGTACAATCAAAGATGGTAATAGTGTCGTCGTTGAAACTCGTAGCATTGATACTGCTCCGCTAGCCATTGAATCAACAACTATTGGTACTCTTTTTCCAATTGTAGGAACTGGTACTAAACATGATGAAGATCATCATCGGGATTTTGTTGTAGACGAGGACGTTATTGAGCAACATATTCGATTGCATCGATCGTGGTCTTCCGAACACACTGGATTAACTTCATCTTGTACTGGAAGAAGGGTTTATGTGTATGATTTGCCAACAAAGTTCAACAAGGACTTATTAATTGGTCAATGTGGAGACAAGTGCTTTGATAATGGAGGATTAGGCAAACCAATTGAGAAGCTTGGCAAAGGTTGGTATGACACTCACCACAACTTTCTAGAGCCGATTTTTCATTCAAGGGTTCTAAACCATCAATGTAGGGTCCACAATGAAGATGAGGCCATGCTCTTTTATGTTCCTTACTACGGTGGACTTTGGCATTTGAAAAATGTGTCAAGGGACACATTGGATTTGGATTTGATCAAGTGGCTTGAGTCAAAGAAATCATGGAGCCACAACTTTGGAAAAGATCATGTCTTTGTATTGGGTTTGGGGACAACAAGGTTTCTACACCTTGCCCAAATGAAGAATCCAACAAAGCTTTTGATTGAAAGAGAGCTATGGGATGTGAACCAGATTGGAATCCCATCTCCAACATACTTCCACCCACACTCTGATGATGACATACTCTCATTGCAACTCCAAGCCATGAGATCCCCTCGTCGAAGCCTAGTCAGTTTGATTGGTTCAACCTGGTCTAACCAATCGTCTTACAGTAATAATATCATATCAATGTTGATCAAGCAATGTGTTGGATTACCTACCGAGCTATGCAAGTTCCTTGATTGCGGCTCAGGAGAGTGCAATAGGCCTGAATTGGTGATTGAGCTATTCATGGAGTCGGAGTTTTGCCTGCATCCTCCAGGTGACAGGTTTACGAGGAAATGGTTGTTCGATTCACTGGTTTCGGGTTGCATTCCAGTATTGTTTAGTCCTTTCACGGCTTACTATCAATACCCATGGCATTTGCCTGAGGAAGATGAGAAATACTCGGTGTTTTTAGATCAAGAAGAGGTTATGCAACAAAGAGTTAATGTTGTGGAAAGGGTGATGAGGACTTCTTCAAGGCATAGAGAGGACATGAGAAGGTTTATAGTTTATGAGTTGTTGCCTGGACTAGTGTATGGAGATTCGAGCTCGCAACTGGTCAAGTTTCGAGATTCATTTTCCATTACTCTGGATAATCTCATAAAGTGGGTAAATCGATTGGAATAAGTGCTAGGTGGTGAGGATGATTATCTCTCCGGTCCTTAGCTAAATGTATCTATTTACCATTAGTATTCCTCTTGTATATCACTTTGTAACCACATTATCTACAGTATATGTTAATAATATCGTTTGCAGTAACCAATTAATATAAATGTCTACATCCCTACATGATATGATATCAGAATCTGCATGGCTAAAAATTTCAAAATTCGGGATTTCTTCTCTTTCTTTTTCACATTGTTAGATATTCAAGTGCACATTTCATATCTCCTCATGAAGTATAAGTTTTTCGAAACAAATTTTCCAAAATATGGAACATCGTAATAGAATTTTCAACTAAACAAATTTTTGTTTGTTTCGCATTTACAAGTATAAATATACTTTTTTTTTTTTTTTGCAAACTCAACAAGAGAGACACATAAACAAGATACTCTAGATATATGTTGGAACGAAATCTCCATCACATTGCGCTAGACGATTATGTGAAATATCATCTGCCAGCTTGACTGTTTAGTTACATTCATAAATTATACCCTGTCAAAATTATTATGAAATAAATATCCATGTTGAGCCGATAAAGGTGAGGCTAAAGCCCTCCCACGTTGTTCCTTAGCTTTGATTACTTGCTCTAGAAGAATTCAGAAAGAAAACAGTAGCAAATTCGGGCTCGATAAGACAATTCGCAGCAGCCATAATAATGTCAACCTTTCAGACTTCAGGTATCAATATTCTTCTAGAAACTAATAACTAAAAGAACTGCAATATACAAACACCTGGAAATGGAATAAATATCTCAATGCTCAAATGTGCAAAGATGGGCATTCGAGTATGTATAATATGAATGTCATGAAGAAGATGCTTGACGCTGAACAATAATAACGGGGACGTTAATCATTTCACACCCCAGATTATCATGATTCACTAATATATATGCTTTTTTTAACTTCCTATTGATAGGGATGCGCGGGAAGAAGAAATTTCATTCTAATATTCCAATATTAAATCTTTTAGTTGAAAATTAATGGTGGTATCGTTAGAGAAAATTTTTATTCGTTAATTTGATGAATAAGTAAAATTTTGAATATTTATAAATTTGAATAGTTATATGTTTAGATTATGTTTTTAGTGCATTCATTTTTGTGGCTGCATATGCCATGCATGCATTCACTTATAATGATCATCATTTGACCAGGTAAATCATGTTAAAATGATGTTAATTGTCTTGACACAAAATGTGTGAATTAATACAAAGATACAAGTAAGGTTGTTAAATTCCTATCTGCACCTGGTCCGACTTAAGTCGGGCTTCAAAACATCGTCCAGAAAACTCCCGGTCTGATCCCTTAAGAAGGAGAAGAAGAGAGGAGAAAAAAGAGGAAGAGGAACGAAAGAAGAGAGATGGTGGGTGAGTTATGGAAGTTAGGTGAACTTATTTTGTGGAAAATAAATTTTTTATAGATACATGTAAAATAAATTTCATTTAAATCATTAAATCTTTAATTACTCTCTCGTTTATATATATATTTAGAAAACGTCTAAAACGGGTCAAACCGATCAAACTCTGATCAAACCATTAAATTGCAAACTTCTTACTTGACCGGCTCAATTACTTAAACCGATTTGACAACCTTGGATACAAGGCATAATGCTTTTCACCCAAATCGTCGTCGCCATCCCCTAATTCCGCCTCAAATTCATCGCTTCCGCAGGGCATTAACAGACAAACACTAGTTGGCTTAGTAGCAACCTCCACGTTCAACCCTCTGGTGGGCAACCTCCACGTGTCGCCCCATTCATACATGCAAAAATGGGAAAGATCCAAGCCAAGCAGCATCCCAGAACTCAATAACCAATTTCCCAAATCCCCCATTCCATTCACATCTGTGAAAAAGGCTGAGATTGAGAACATACGAAGGCCGCATCCTTATTCCTTCATCCCTTTTGGCGGCGTCTTTGGTTGGGCCCTACATTCCCTGGCGCGGCTTTCTCTCTATATAAACAAGACAACCCAGATGCTCTCTTCCTCAATTCGCACCCTCTCCCGTCAAAATCCCATCTTTGCTTCCTCTCCAGCTGCTTCTCTTATACGCGCTCCTAGTCAGTCGTTTCCTTCTTCGTTGGGTTTGTCGCCGATCGCTTCCCGTTCTCCGCATCACCCGTCGCGGTCTTTGAACTCTCCGCCGCTGTCGCTTTCCTCTTTGTCTCCTAATTCTCTGAGGTTCGATCGCGCTATGGCCAGCAACTCCGACTCTCCCCAGTCCATCTACGACTTCACTGTCAAGGTAGTAAATTGAACTCAAAGGCGCTTTCTTTTTACTTTGGGTTTCAAATTGGTTCGGCTATGGCGATGGTCTGCTGTTGTCTTGGAAATTGGGGCTACTGGGTGTTTGTGGGTTTCTGGGTTTAGGTGCGGGAACAGGCTAATTGAACCCAGAGGTCAGCGGGACTTTGTATCTATTGCTCTGTTCGATTCTGTGTAGCTTGTGGTTAGTTCGGATCGGCTTTAGGGTGTCAGGGGTTTTTCAATGTTCTGACTTCATTTCTGCTGTTTACAGGATGCTAGGGGGAAGGATGTTGATCTCAGTATCTACAAGGGGAAGGTTCTTATGATTGTTAATGTCGCTTCTCAGTGGTAATGTTTTGCTTTTTTCGTTAGAAAGTTCATTAGTTGGCAGTTGTAAAAGCTCTGCATAGAACATGGGAAATTACTGTTTCCGTGTATCATCCATTCTCGCGGTAGTTGGTTTCGGATAAACCTAAGGGTAGACTGTAAGCTTAGATGTGGCGCCTGAAATACGGCTAACTATGTATACTATGAATTGTTAACCAGTTTGTTCGTCGGTTGTTTGAACTTGATGCAGCGGCTTGACCAATTCCAACTACACCGAGCTCACTCAGCTGTACCAGAAGTACAAGGATCAAGGTGGGTTGTCTGTTCTCTAATTTCTTAATGTTCGATCACACTAAATCCTATTCCTTCTTAGCCTGGCGGTCTATAGCCTCCTTCTAAAACAAATTTGTTCATTGGTTGTTGTGCGCCTGTGCTGAGAGCAGGTTTGGAGATCTTGGCTTTCCCTTGCAACCAGTTTGGATCTCAGGAACCTGGAAACAATGAACAAATCGTGGAGTTTGCTTGTACACGTTTCAAGGCTGAGTACCCCATTTTCGACAAGGTGAGTGATCTTGCTTCCTTCCTTAAAAACAAGATCAGTTTTTGGGTCAATCCTCACTTGTGGAAACGATGTTGCAACGTTGTACTGCTCAACATACCTAGTGGATTCCAATTTGTGTCTGACTTTTTGCATAAAAAACTGGTGTAGGTTGAGGTGAATGGTAAAGAAGCTGCTCCGATCTACAAGTTCCTGAAGTCAAGCAAAGGTGGACTGTTTGGGGATGGTATCAAGTGGAACTTCACCAAGTTCCTTGTTAACAAAGAGGGCAAGGTTGTGGAGCGCTATGCTCCCACTACTTCCCCTCTCAGCATTGAGGTAAGGGAGATGCCTCTTTCCCCTGCCATCAAACACTCCTGATTTCGTCTTCTTTGTCTTGAACTCTGATTGGGTTACTAACTCAAACATGCTTGTTTTTCTCCTTGTTTTGGCATTTGCAGAAAGATGTGAAGAAACTCCTTGGGATTGCTTAGGGGATTCGAACTAGAGTGTACACTCTGTCTATCAGACCATTGGACGGGTTTATGGTTAAATAAGGAAGAAACTAGCTTCAATAATGCACAGCTGCTTTTGTAAAGCATTGTAATACTAGACATCTGAGTTGCTTGTATGTTGTTGCATGTCTGGAAAGAGTGTAATAATACAGTTACAGTTATCACCTCCCCTTCGTTCCATCATTTGCCACCTTTCTACGCAATTTAGCTGGTATGGATGGCTTATCAGAATAGTAACCTGGGTTCTGGAAACGTTTCCTTCCTTGCCAAGAAGAAAGTCACAGATAATTACACAGGAGAATTCATGTTGTTGCAACACTGTATGATTTCACTGTTAAGGTTGGTCTCTCTGGTTTCGTCGTATATTTGACCAACGAATCCAACCTCTCTCTCTCTCTCTCTCTCTCTCTCTCTCTCTCTCTCTCTCTCTCTCTCGTTCGTTCGTTTTAAGAATCCGAAAGGGTGACTACTTGGATTCCTTCGCACCAGGTTGCTTCCACGGGTTTTACTTCTGTTCGTTCTTCCATGATTCACTGATATCTGGTGATCACTGTATTGACTGAAACTTGACTGGAATTATGGTAACTTCTGAACTGTGGAATATCATGAAACGTTGGGCATTGGTATTGGCTATGGTAAGCAAACTCATCAAGTTTCAGTCTTGATGTTCTACTGGTTTTGCTTGGTAAAATGGTGCTTTCGGCGTCAGCCAAACGACTTTAGGGCATCTGCTTCTAGAAGTAATTGTCAATGTTGTTGACTGATGCAGGACGCCAAGGGAAATGATGTAAACCTCTGTATCTACAGGAGGAAACTTTCTTGTGAAATTTGGCAATGTTGAATGTTGGTGTCAAATTCTCTTCTTGCAGTGGGATGACCAACTCGAACTACACAGAGCTGAATGATCTGTACCAAAAGTACAAAGATCAAGTTTAAACAACTTCATTGTTTCTATGAGAACCTGGATGAATCTCCACTTAATATTAACACATGGCTATTCCTTTTGGGAGGGATGTACAGGCCTGGAGGTACTGGCATTCCCTTGCAACCAGTTTGGTGATGAAGAGCCAGGAAACAATGACGAGATTCGATTCAAATCACTGATCCCCATCTTTGACAATGTAGCATACATGCATTATAGTTTCTAAAGGGGTGGAAGGAAGTTGCTTTTCTTTTTTACTGATTTGGTGGGGTTGTCATGATGATCAGATTCAGATAGAGGTGAATGGTGAGAATGCATGACCACTGTTACAAGTTCTTGAAGACGGGGAAAGGGGGAATCTTTGGTAACGACATCCAACAGAACTTTGGCAAGTTTCTGGTCAACAAACATGGTCAAGTAGTTGATCGTTACTACCCAACTACTTCTCCCCTGAGCATTGAAGTAAGCAACACTTCCTAGTAAATGTATAGTAGGATTCCCCGTCGTTATGGTTTTCATGGGATTCTCATGCTTGGGACATCAATTATTGTTTGACAGTACGACATAAAGAAGCTGCTGGGAGCCTCATGAGAGAATTCTGCTACTGATGAATAAGCTCTTATCATCAACATAGGAATTCAATTCTAGCACGTGATGTTTGTTTCCTTCTTCCTGCAACTGCTGCTGTTGCTGTCCTTTAGTATTGTGTCCAGAGATTCTCTGGAACTCCCATGCATTATAATTGGACGTGACATGCCAAGCTTGTGGCTTCAGAAATTTGGCAATGGAATGTGTAAAACTTGTTTCAATTTATGATCTTACTTTTCCTATCTGCTCTGTCATCTGTAACCTTTTGTGGCCTGTGTTCTACAAGAAGGCATGATAGATCCAACTCAAGTTCTTTCATTGCATACTTGCATACCATTACGGCATTACCAACGGTTTTCAAAGCAGCCATTGCTGAATTTTGTCCAAGCTCAGAGCAAGAGCGAGAGATGAGAAACAAGATGGGAGAAAATTTTAACGAAGAGGAATTAACTGAACTTTGCTACTGCCAAGTGCCAATCACCAAAGACTGATCCACATAAATACCCAGAAACAGGGAGACTTAAAAATAATGGGAAAACAAATCCTAAACAGTTGGAAGCGAGCCCTTAAAAATGATCGACTTTTTGTTACAGACTAGAGGTTAGCACAAACCGCATTCCACGTCCCTACCCTCAAATGTTGGGGAAGAGAGAGAAAAGAGCTGAAAGGTGAAATCTAGATGCTCACAAAGGAGATCTTTTCTTCTTCAACTACTTGTACAACAACACATCTGTACAAAATTGCCATGTGCTTGTTGCTGCAGCCAGTCATCATCTTCATCAGTCATTCATCCGCGTGTCAAATCAATGTCCATGTGAGGGTTGTTTCTCAGTTCAACAGACCGTGAACCAGGCCAGACCCCCATGGGTGAAGGAGTGTAGTGATGCTGCTGCTGCTGTGTTGTAGTAGAGGGAGGAGGAGCACTAGCAGGGGTAGTAGGGGTACTAACAGCTAATTTCTCATTGTTCCGTTGGCTTTTATCACTCTTAGGCCGCCCAACTGGTCTTTCGGGCTTCTTTGTATTACCATGTACAAAACTGCAGATCACGACCTGTACCGAAACCCCAGTTTCAAGTTAAGCAGGGGCCTGAGGTTCACATTGGTAATGTTCATAAACCAGACTTTCAGAACAGCTGATATACGATACCTGGACTAGGCTCGCAGCAGTAAGCATGCCGATTGCACCACCAATGACATGACCATCAGGAGTAGAGAGAGAAGCGCTCATCCCGCCTGTACGATTACGTGGACCACCATCTTCAGCCACCAAGTAAGAACCCGACAAACACAGTATCTCGAATCGGCCCTGTAACAGCTAAAAACCAAATAAGTCCACGCATTCGAAGGATAATGATGAGCACAACAATAACTGCTATAGATGATACCCAAAGGCTAAGGGCAGAAGCCAGTTTCTTTCTAGTAGAGAAGATCAGGAAACACGTCAAATAAATCTTTTACTCAAAAGAATAAAGGCCAAGAAATAGGTCTGTCCAAGCTTGCAGCATCATTAAATGAAAACATACAGGAGTAAATGCTGATGAACGTATTTTAATACTTATCAGGATGCCAGAATGAAGAGCCAAGCTACTAACTTGGAAAGCCTCAGTCCACCTTTGGGCATCAACTCAAAGTGATAAAAAAAAAATTTTTTGTATACTTATAATTAAATAGACATGACAATCAAGAGGGGTAGTATGTTCTCTAGAGTGTCCTTATCAGAAGCCCCAAAGAGCAATATTACTAAACTGAAATCTAGTGTGGCTTGTTTCACTAAGACCACTACCAACGCAACAACTAAAGTCAAAGTCGTTGTTTTACTAACAATTTACCAAAGATGCCATTGGAGGCAAGAACTTCAACAACTGGCTACACTGAGTCATCTTCAACAGACAAATCCACAAAGTGAAATCCTTTAAAGTCAAGATCTAGCTTGATATTAACAATCCTAAATCTTTACCAACAAAAAGGTACTTGCCACCAAAACCTGGTAGCACAATGAAGCACTCGATTGCAAGCCTAATTAAAGCAAGACGGGAACATTGTGCTCTCCATCTTTCAACTATGTCTACCACTAACAACAGACATCGATGTTCAAACTCACATCGTTAACTATGTCAAACTATGGCCGAGTAATGTCATGTCACAAACCAGCCCTGAAAAATATTATCCTAAACACAAACCACAAGGCACACACTAAAAAGAGTAAATTCACTTAAATCAGAATCCGTTCTACACTTGCTTCCATTATATACCCAAAATTTCTAAATCATTTCGTATCACCAGGGAAACAGAAGAGCCTCTTGTTACATCAGTTTGAACTACTTTCAACCTTCTATAAATTAAAGATGCTGAATTTACGTTTATGAGTATTGAAAGTATTGATTGGAAAGTAAAACAAATAATGAAACAAAAACATGGATATAGGGGAACACAAGCATGCCCTTCAAATCCTAATAGCCCAAGAGTCGACTGATGCAGATGATTAAGCAATTGAAACAAGCAATGAGAGAGGGATATGAATGCTTTAACCTCGTATGTGACAGAAGGCCCTGAAGATGCTGGTTGGCGCAGTGTGACAGATGAAGCTGTACCAGTTCCAGACAAGACACAGACAGCCCTAGGCCTCTGTTGCGCGAATGACAATATTTTTGCAACTATATCCTGCAGATGGAAGGGGGAAAAGTGTCATGCTACCAAAGACCAATGCCAGATTTCCATGAGAATCTCACAAAAGAGAAATAATCCATATTGATTCAGGAGCTGTCTTATGGAATGGAATGGGCATTTTATAAAATGAGAAAGCAGTTGCATGGATGAGTAAAAGAAAATTGAAAAAGACATTACCTCCCCAGCTAAGATTCTGATCACATGTGGTGCGAAAGCCAGGCCTGCAGAGTTGTTCATCCATTCACCTAGCCCATCAAACAAGTTTTAATGAGAATATGCAAGAATAAGACAACCTCTGATCATCCGGATTAATTTCAAGCAACAAGGTTATATCGCTAAGTGATATTTATGCTTCTTATTACAGAAGCCTTACAAATAGACTGATGAAACAAACATTATCACGCTACATAAATGAGTTTCTCGGTCTTCACAATTGCTACGCAGAATATGCGACAGTCACTTATAACTAAGGGAACTAAGGTGAGATCTGTTCATGTACAACACTATCAACTTGGAACAAAACATCGTACCAGCACTGGAGCACTAGCCCTCATATAACCCACCTCAATCATTAGAGCTTGAAAGTTACATGATAATCACCTAGATTCGCCAGTCGTTGCTTTCTCCCTGTACCCGGTGGCCGCCCTCTACGCTTAGATGGGCTCAATGGATCTTGCTCTGATGATGGTTGTTGTTTAGGCTTTACCAGCACAGGAGATAAAGCAAGGGAAACCTGTCCATCAGGGGCATATTTCCGTGGCCTTCCTCTTTTCTTCTTCACCGGCTGCTCACTCACAGCAACCCCAGGTGGAGGAGCACCCATATCAATATCAATGCCATGGCCGCCAGGGCCGCCATGACCACCATGACCAGAATTCACATTTGAGTGCTCTATTGAGAATGCAGGTGCAGATGAGCCAGGCCTGGCATTGTTTTGAATCTGAAAGTTTGGAGTTGGGGAGGATCTGAACTGGGGTGGAGGGTGCAATGCGCCAGGTTGTGACCCGTATCCCCCAGACCCACCATAACCAGGCCCCCTATGAATGTAATACGGATTTGACCCACTAGACAATGCCATAGCTTCTCTTCCATCCATGCATTTACTAAGGAAAATGGTACAAATATCACAATAGCACAAGCTCCAAAAATAATCAAGAGCTTCTGACTGATAAAGATGGTGCTTTTAAGGCTTCCTTATCCTACTAGACTTCGCAACCTAATGAGAAACGGCAAGAGGGATTCCAGAACCAAAGGGTTTTTCAGGGGTTTTTCGTGCAAGAGGACTAAAAACGAAATGAAGCTGGGAACTCTAAATCAGAATGTTTCGCCGCCACACAGGGAGGAACTCAAAAAGATCTGCTTTCACAATTAAACCGCCATCAACAGAAACCCAGATGAGAACCCTCAATCTCAAAATTCCGAACTCGCCGAAATTGTGGGAAATGGGAACGAAAACGAAAGAAGAGAAACAAACACTCTAAAGAACGAGAGGCAGGGTTTCCTCCAAGAATACAGCAGAGCGCTAACTCAAAGCTAGAGGGCCAACAACAGAAATGCAGAGAGCCGGCGGAAAACAAAAGCTCAAAGACGGCAACTTTGAGCAGCGGAAGTAGAGAACAGCTTGAGAGACCAGAAACCCACGTACTCCTAACAACCAACCCCAGACGAACAAAACCCTAGATTTCCCTTCTGCTTCCAAATCTAGGGTTTTGAGGAAAAAAGCGAAAATGCAGGGAGGGAGAGCGGGGGAAGCTGGTGGTAAAATGAAGAGAGGAAAGAGAGGGCAAGAAAAGACAAAGACACTCTGAGCCAAAGAGATAGAGAAAGAAAGGAATTGAAAAATATTGAATCTACTCCTGAAGCTTTTGAATTAAAGAGAGAGAAAGTTAAGGGTTTGGGTTTTTTCTTCTTCTTTCCTACTCTCTCTTTCTGTTCAATTTCAATACCAAACAACTGAACAAGTAAAGGCTTTTGCTTTGCCCTTTGGTTCGTTTAGTAGACCAGAGAGTCGAGAGGAGTGAAGGGAAGGAGAGAAGGAGTGCTTTATTTTGACTAGAAATGAGTGAGTTAGAGAGAGAGTGGACAGGACAGACAGAGTTGGTTCAAGGGCAATGGTGGCCTACCAAAGTACCAAACCCTTTTGCACTATTATGTCACTTTCAGATCACCCAATTTCATGACTCATGCCACTCTCTCTCTCTCTCTCTCCAAAGTAGACTCCAGCCCAAAGTTTTCCAGTTTTCCTCCCCAGCCCCAAATTTCATCAACCAGCCATTCTCTCTCTCTCTATCTCTAAAACTTTCTTGTTATTTGGATGTGTAATGAATAATGATACTTTTTTCCTGCCTGTGGTTTACATCTTACTATATTCATGTAAGTTCACAAGAGGGTCACTGGAAATGTGGGGCTGGGAGAGGAGATGAGAATCAAACAAAAGAATGGTCTAACAGACAAATGGATGCCAATCTACAATAATGATAGCAGTACCTCAATGGAAAATGGTATGGAGCTGAGCTCACAGGAATGGCAAGTATCAGCCCTTCAAGCCAAATTGATATAGTTTATCTAGGCACCTTGCTGTTTAATTTCACCTACATCCAACAATTTAGAATTCATTTCATTCACTTTCAAAATTCAAGTTTAGGGTTTTGTCCTTTTACTCGGGAGCGATGTTAACTTGATAAGTGTCAATATGATATCTTGCTTTGTAAATGTAGGTTGTGCCATTTTCATAAATAATAATTTTGCGTAAATTAAATAATTGAAATCACAAATCGCATAATCTGACGATATTCGAACTCAGTGATGGGAGTCTCTAAATTCACTGTAGGAGCCAAGAAGATATAGTCCACTGTTGTCCAAATATGGGAGAGAAGATTGAGGTGTTGAATGGTCACCTATATGGCAATTTGGAAGTGGGTAGATATGGGCAATCCATTGGGTATTCACATGTCACTGATGATGGAGCCACAATTATTTAAAAAGCAGATTGATAACAAGACTGGAATAGAGACAACAATAATCTCAGGGGGGATGCATTTTGTTTTTTTGTCCCTCAAATTGACAAATTCTATTAATTATAACACCAATTAACTCATAATTAAATGGCAAATCTTTTCCAGATTAGCATATAATCAATTTCGTTAAGATTTTGCAGGCTCTATCCGTTTTATGCGCAGATTCATATTTATCCCTAAACAGTATTACCAGCAATCATAACAAACAAAGCAATATAGGAGTTGGAGAATATTTATGGACCCCATTTTGGCATATTATGAAAGAGTGTTATGGGAGCCTTGTACAGTTTGGTAATGATCAAGCAAACTGGTAATGTAATGTGAAAGGGAAGAAGATGAGAATGAGATCCCTTTTGTCTCTTCAGTTTGAAGGCCACCCTCACTCACCCTACCTAGTTTCTCTCTTTGTCCCATGCCAGATATATATGTATTATATGCTCTAATCTTATTAGTTTTAGTAGCCATCTAAAATAATGAGATGAAGCATCTCAGCTATATTCTCAAGTGGACCTATGATTGGGACTTCAAGCATACTTTCAGAAATCATTATGCACGTCTGAACAAGATGATAGTCGTTAAAAAAAGGTCACATAGCAACGATTATGTGTATAGGAAGTTATATGTACTGAAAGTGAAACATTGCGCTTCATATAGTGATCACATCGCACCAAACAATCGTATATACATAAATATGATATTGACATAAAAAAAATATGAGTATTTGTTATTTTATTTAAAATATCGTATTTTATTCACATTTTGAACGGTCTCATGTTTCTTAAGTAGCACATAACCACAAAAAACTAAACCTAGCAGGTATAAAATCAACTCTGAGAACCTCTCTTTGCTTCTCTCGACCCAACAAGACCTCAAAGTAACCTTATTTAGTGACTAGAAGGGATGAACATGGTTTGACCAAGTTTCAGTTATTCCATGGGTTTGATTCCGAGACCTCAAAACACACAGAAACGAAGAAGCTAACATCGCTAGATTTTGACAGTCCAATCTAATACTTGAATTCTTGATAGATGCCATGGTTGGATGAACTGAGGGCAACTGTAAGCCTGGCTTCCCCTTTCCGGAATAAGTCCATGGCTTGTGTTATTGAAAAGGAGAGTTATTCCCATGTTCGTGCATGAGTTCAAGTGCACATGAAAAAAGCCACCACTTTTGAGGAAGCTTTTGGCTTTGTGAGTTTAAAAAAAATGCGTTAATGTCCAGAAGATAAGGTTGCAGAAGAGCTTTCTAATTTCTGTACTACCTTACAAGGATTGCTAATCAGTGAATTTGAGTCCAGCCAGAGAATTCCATGCATGGATTAGCATGACAAACTTCGAAACAGACAACTTAAGCCTTCTTTCTCCTTTTTGCTATCCCCTGCATTCCCTCCTACATGTACTACCTGCAAATTGGGACAAACGACGAGCAACACACTTAAGTCACTTTCCAAAAGGCAGAAAGCTCGGCTAAGAGATGGCAGCAGATTTCTACATTAGGGTCATTAACCAAACAGAGAAACAAACCCCAATTAAAAGTGTTGGCTCCCTAAACATGGTACTGAGCTCTAGTCCATCTATTGATAACAACGTTAAAACGCTAGTTCTACAGGGTACAAATAGAGGTGGTGGTGAATTTTCTTGTTTTGCAATGCAGTCTATGGTCTCAGGAGTACTGGCAACCCATGGCCCAAACGAAAATGAAAAGGCTTCCCTGTAAGCTCCAGAAAGAAGTCATCACCATATATGCAAAGTCCACAAGAGAAATGGAAGTAGAAGAACAATGACAAGTTTATTTCTTCTGCAGTAGTTGTATAGAACTGCAACTTACATTATCTGAAGGGTTTGCTTCCGCTGCCTCGGACTTCAGCCTTTTGTTCATATAATCTAGGTATCCCTTTACAAATCAAACACAATAATAAAAAAGTTATGGAATGCAGGAACTTTGAAAGTAAGCAAACTAAGGAAGTACAGAGTTTCCACTCCTTTTCTACGTAGAGAAGCAAAATTAATAAGATACCTGAAGGATTGTAACTGCAGCAAACTTGTCATGCATGGTTTTCGCTTCAACAGGATGGAATTTTAATGGTTCTATAAGAAGATCGATGACCTGCAACAAACAACACCCAAATAAAATCTCTATACATAATTTTGCAACCAGTGAAGTGAACTGAACGCCTTCCACCCTCCCCACTCAAACCAGTTATGACGTGAATCGAGTTTATTTCAATCAATTAAATACAGGTACTGAACCAAAGGAGAAGAAATGAAGCACAAATCAAAGAGAAATGAAAAGGTAGTAACTGAATTAAACACCTTTCACCCTCCCCTCGTTACCCTTCTACTCAGCAAATATACCTCACCTTTGATGAAAAACACTCGTTCCAATAAGTATAGGGTAAACTGTTGTTAAGCTTTCCTGTTCTAGATAAGTCATCCACAAAAAGATGCATTTCATTAACCTGGTTAAAGCATGGAAACAGAATGTCAACAGTTAGTGAAAAAAAGAACATATCTGCATATCTCAAAGGATAAAACAGGATTACATCTCGCGACTTCTGATATCTGTCCAATGGGAGTCCTACGACAAATCCAGCCACGGACAGTTCAGAGACCTGATAGCAATAGACATTGGTTAGTATTCAAATTTGTAGATAGGAATGGAAGTCACTAGAGATCTAATATTTTTCCTCAACCACAAGACTACCCAAGAAACGAATTTCAAAAATAGCTGCTTCATGAAATAGCTATGAATCTTGACCAAGAGAAACTAAGTAGCATATACTGAAATTATAAGCAACACCAATAACTACATTCTGATTGACCAGAGTATACAAAAACAAGTTCCACCTGATTGTTCAAATTATTAAAATCTCCAACAAGGAACAATCTCATGAGCCCATAATAATCAGACAACCATTTGGCCTGCCTTCATATCCAAACAAAGATAACCGAACAAAGTAAAAGATCTAAAACAGGGAAAACAAAAGGAGAAACAATCAATCGAGAAGAGAATACGCACCAGCTTCTGGAAATCCTTAGCCACCAAATCAAGATTGGATTTCTTCCTCACCAGAACACTGCAGTTGCACCAGTCAGGCAAAATGAAACCCCCTTCTTAAAGGAACCGTCTTCATCAAGCACATGGTCATATCAAGGTTTGCAGAGTAAGCAAAATGATAAGTATCGTATACCTTAGAGGTGATGCAACTTTATTGAGGGGATCACTGATAGCTAGCCCCACGTATTTCTCTCCAACATCCAGTCCAAGCAACCTACTACCATTCTGTACTGTCCTGACGAAGCGACCCAATATCGCAGGATCCATGTACTTCATCTGATGCCTCCTAGGATAGCTGTAAATTTGTTAGGAGAAATAGGGCAGCCAGAATTCAGGACAAAAGTAATGGAAGTTAGGGTTTTTTCCTTCTTCTACCAAGCACTGAACTACTGCCATCACCTTCATATAATAATATCGACATCTAATTTCTTCCCCATGTGAAGAGTAGTCAGTTTAGTTGATCTTATGATTCTTATCATAGTTCACAACCCAGGAAACATTTACCGGGGTCATTACCTCTAGTTTCAGGATTCTTCCGTCTCCATTAAACAGAGAGGCGTCTGGGAGTCTGCTGCAGCCGGCATCGGCCGGGAAGCGGGCGAGCCCAGTGATCGGAAAAGCCCACTAGCTAGGTCAAAGGAAAAACGACGGAGGTGAGGCAGAAGAAGATGGAGAGGGTAGCCGGCGGCAGCAGGTGGGGTCGGAGGCGAAGAGCAGGGGCCAGGGAGATTATGTTAGATTTTCTCAATCTGTGGGTAATTCATTAAGAATCCCCTAAATTGGGCTGGGGTAACCGGAAACAATGTAAATGGGCCAAACTGTCGAATCCCGCACCACATTCAAAATGGGCCAAAACATGGGTCGGCTCATTGCATATACGGGTATGGCTTCACTAGGTTGATTATTCGAGTTTTTATTTGGATCGTTGGAAGGCCTCTGCAACTCGAGCTGCTATGGTGAACTTTGCTCATTGCATGAGTTAAGTTGTTTGGGTTGTTTTTGTGGGTGCCATAATTTGTACTATTAAGGTTCGATGGTTTGTGTTTCATGGTTACAGAACCGTTCATTTGGTGGCTACTCAGTTTTTGTTCTTGTCGTCTCGTCTTTTGAGGTTCGACTTTGTTTCTTTGTTCGCAGTATATGATTTTGTTGTAAGTCTATAGATATTTATTTGTTCCTCTTATTTAAGAGTGATTTAATGAAAAAAAAAAACACCAGCTCTCAGTGCTGCGATTCTCCTTCAGCCTTCATCTGCTTGCGCACAGGGAGGAAAGCTCCGTAAAATCATCAGCAATCCCAGTGATCCTGGGGATTTGACAGTCGTTTTTCACTGTTCCACAACTGGGAAAAGATAGGCTGATAATTATCGTAGGAGATATCATGGTAATCATCAGTTAGATCAATTATTTATGCTTTTAGTGTAACTATAGTACAGAGGACAAATTAGGAAGTCGTGGAGAAAAAAAAAAAGAGAAATGGATGGTGATTTATGGAAGGAAATTGACAGGATGGAATGGTCACCTCTAAAGGGAATGAGAGGATCAGAGGAAGAGACGGATTGTGACTCTTCAAATACACAAATCATATCCGCACTCTTCATTTTTCTCCTCGTAGCTAGGGGTGTCAGTTCGGGTCGGGTTCCGGTTACCCGAAACCCGAAAATTCCTTATCGGGTTCGGGTTTGGTTAAAGCAAAACCGAAACCCGAACGCCTAAAAATACGGGCTGAGTTCTATTTATTGGAGGTTTTTAGCCGAAACCCAAAAAACCGATAAGCAAAACCGAAACCCGAAACGAACCCGAACCCGAAAAACAGAAAATGTATATAATCGGATCGGTTCGAGTAAACCCAAAAAACCGAACCCGATTGACACCCCTACTCGTACCACATTCTAAAGTCGCCAATAAATCTCAAAATATCCAAGAAACACACCGATAGATCAAAGAGAAATATTGAACGTATAATTACAATTTACAAGGGTTCGCACCATGCTAACCCCTCGGTGGGTTGCATGTCATCACATCCTCTAGAATCGGATAGGATGCTAACACCACGATATGTTAGTATCATGCTAACATAATTATTATTGGTCTTATGATAATTACACATTTGCCAGTTGACAGCCTTGACAATAACACCTTTACCTAATGGCAGTTCTTTCTCACAAGGCAGCAAAGTGTTTATTGTACACGAAGACACCATAAAACTAAACTCAGAAGAAATGAATCAATTGAATTGAATCAGAATTAGAATTAGAAAAAAGGTATCCACTACGTCCTTTCCTGCTACATGGGATTATTGGTTTACAAGAAACAATTGAGTCAGGGACTGGAGCTGAGTCCGTTTCTTAGCAGCCCTCCTGAAAGGCTTCCTGTTGCGCCACCATAACCGATCAATTCCAGTGGATAAAGAACGCCTGCCTCCATTATTGTCTCCATTACGACTAGCGCCGGACTTCTTGTTCTGCCTCTTCGTTGCAATTCGCCCCACTTTCATGTGGCTGGACCGTGGCGACGGCGTCTTTGGCTCCACCTCGACTTTCGACATGTCTGACGATGATCTTTTCATAGCAAGGTACAGAATCTTATCGTCTTCTTCCATCTCTAACGGCGTAGCTAACCGCAGCAGCTCTTCTCCTTCTGATTCTGATCCAGTTTTACAGGCAGGACATATGTATATCTGCCGCGGCGGCGGCGCTAGCTTTATACACTCCCCATGATACAACTCTTCACATTTGGCACAAGTGACCATCGGTCCATTGTCCCGAGGTTTTCGACATATACAGTACAGCTTGCTTCTAGCTCTTAACGACTGCAGGAAAGACCCCGCAAAAGATAGCATTAGCTTAATAAAATGTCCAGGCTCTGAAATTGAATCCAAAACAAGAAAATATGTTTTTGTTACCTCGAGTTCCTCCTCCAAGTGAAAAGGCAAATTCTCCACCTCCGAGATGAGCTCAAAGACTTTATCCAAGGCAAGAGCACCAGAGTCGTTCGAAACCTAGAGGGAAACAAGAATGAATCATAAACAGAAATCTAGAGAGGCTAAATGATCGGATAAAAGAAACACAGACTATAGGTGGAAATTGCAATCAACCTTATTGGCACGATCAGCCCAATGCGTGGCGGTATCTTTCAGTTCAGACAGCCTCAGCCTGAAGTAATCTTCGGGACTTATGTCCATGGTGAATGCCTCTTCCATGAGGTGATGAACCTCTTGCAGTGTCGGTTTCTTCAATCCACTTGCCAAAATTTGGTCAACTCTAACCTTCCACGAATGTCTAGCTACAGCAAGCTGAAAATCACCATCGACCTCATGATCATAGACGCCAGCAGCCTCTATAGCCTGAAGGGTAAACACTATTCTCAATAACAAAACTCACCAGCTGGAGAAAGACATTTTAATGCCTCTCACTTCCTAACAACATCTCTCGACCATAAAGGTCGAGGCAAGTTTTTCAGAAAAGGAGTACCTTCAAGGCAATAGCGAGCTTTTCAGAAACCGGTTTCAGGTCCTTATCCTTGTATGACAATACAAATTCCGCAACTTCTTTCAGGCCTTTTCTAACTATGAGAGCTTTTTCCACAATCTCTTGCAGTACTCCTACTTCATTGATCCTGCAACAAGCAAAGAGCAGCTCAGGAGTTCAAACACATTGACCACATGGAAAAACACTTGGTAGCAGGATTTAGTAACATTTGAACTAAGACCATCCGAAACAACCAACTATTGTTAGTCATTACCTTACAGAAAAACTGTCAGACAAAGATAGAAGTTCAACCAGAAGACTTAACTCTGCTTTTTTCGCCCCCTGCAGGAGCAAAAGACAGGTGAGACATAAAGAAGCAAGCTAATAAGATGGACCAAAGAATTCCAAGCCAAGTGCCTACCGAAAATATGTGTCCTCCCTTTGGGCCTTTTATCCCAGAATTCCGAAATTGACAATAAATGCATATGTATGTTGCTGCAACTTCCGCATCAGCTAAAAGCGGATCCAGATCCAGATGATAACTGCTCAAATGGAAAAGATGGTCAATAGTGTATTCTAAAGTTTTCAAACAGAAGAACGGGATGCAATAAACTGATGGTTGACAATCAATAATTATTGGGGTCTTATTAACCATACTTCCCCATACACTACGATAAAGACGACATACTGGCAATGAGTGGAGACACTAATATGCTAGTGCAAGGACAGTCCTTAAAGAGAGCAAGTAAACACAGCATTGTCCCTCAGGATTGTAAAATAAGGTACCTTACCGGTTTTTACAGCTTGAACAGATTATAGACTCTTGGTCATCAAGAATCCTGGTGCAGCACATATTTAGAAATTTTCCTCCACATCTCTCAGATTTGTCAAATATGCACATAGACAGATCCAATGATGTAATTATCTGAAACGAGGAAAACAATGCTCAGCTTCTACTTCAAAACTCCCATCTATACGACCTATGCCTGACATGAAACGAGAATGGGGGAAAGTGACCTTCTGTAAAGCACGGAGCAATGCTGCCTTGTCATCTAAAGATTCTCCTACTATTTCAGCACATCGTCGTTTCCATTCTTCCACATTTTTAGATTCAGATAAAATTGATTCCAGTTCTCCACAACCAAAGGCAGCAGCCCTTCCAAGTTCCTGCAGGCCAACAGAAAAAAACGTCATAAAGCATGCAGGGGCCAGGTTAATTAATCAACAATAGGTAAAGCTTCTAAGAATATACAAATAAAATGAACTCGGAAGAATGTTGCGACTAACAAAGTCAATTGTTGTACAAGCAAACATTTGACAGCAAGGTTTGATTACAAATAACTTTGAGAGAGATATATCAGGCACCTACTACCATTTCCAAATAAATTTGGATTCCTTGCACAGTGATAACTAGGATTTTTCATTATCGATCCAGAATTGAAGACATTAAAAAACTGTTACTTTGACTTCCTCGCCTCTATTGATACAGCCATACACTCCCAATTGATCCTTACATAACAAGGGTCGGGCTACCCTATGACACTCTATTTATATCAGCTAGAAACATACGGCCAAGTTAAAGTTCGATACTCCTTTATTTATTGAACATTACAAGAGCAGTAAATAGTATGCAATGAGATTAAGGAGCAAAATACTTTCATCATACCTCGAGCTCTTGCATTTCGGACAAAGATCGAAGCCCAGGACTAAGGCTGAGAAACCGATCAACTCTTTCTTTCCACTGCCTAAAGTTTTGAAAGACATGCATAAAAATCCCACAATCAGCGGCAAATATCAACAAGACAGC